AATGTATAATTTGTAGTAATAGTAAGTTGCAATGGTCGTAGTTGATTGCTATGGGACAACAGTCCGCTGTAAATATTGTAGATAGTGGATGTAGTGTCAGCTTGTCGTATAGGTCATAGTTGAAAGTTTTGATAGTAGTTGGTTGTGTAAGCTACAAATTATTTCTTCAGGAGCATCAATTAGCTATAGCGGTCATAGTAGGAAACTGCGGGAGTAGTGATCCATGTAAGTCGTTGTTTGTCACATAAGTTGTAGTGGTGAGTTGTGTTGAAGTTCGTAGAACGCAAGGGCCAGAGTCGGGAGCTACACAAGCTATGGATCACTTAGGTCTTAGTTGGCCGCATGGGTCGTAGTGGTTAGCTATGATGAAGTTCGTAGAGCAAAGGTAGGAGTTGGGAGCTACACGAGCTATGAACCACATGTCATAGTTAATCACATAGGCCGTTGTGGTGAGTTGTGGTGATGTTCATAGGCCGCATGGGTTAGAGTCACGAGATGCACGAGCTGTGGGTAGATCATAATTGGTGACTTAGATCATAGTGAGGAGCTGTGATGATATCGGTAGGCCATAGAGGCTGGAGTCGGGAGCTAGACTAGTTGTAAACCACATTGTCGTAGTTAATCACATTGGTCATAAATGTGAGTTGCGATGACAGTCATTGGCTGTGAAGGCCATAGTGGAGAGTTACATGACTTGTAAGACACGTAGGTCATAGCGATAAGTTGAGATGACGTCTATATGTTGTAGAAGTCGGAGTCAGTTACACGAGCTATGTGCCACACAGACCGTATTTGGTCACATGTGCCATAGTGGTGAGTTGTGATATCATATGTAGGTTACAGGAGTCGGAGTTGGGAGTTGCCCGATGACATCGTTACGTAGGTCATAGTTGATCACATAAGCTATGGTGGTGAGCTACGATGACGTCCATAGACTATAGGGATTGGATTCAAGAGTAGCAAGGAGGGAGATTTAGGTGTCAGAAGAAATTCACCATTTTCAAGATACATTGTTACACCATCTTGAGGAGGCATTGTTTCATTGTATGTGGGGTGTGTTATTACACTGTTATCAGGGGTGTGTTGTTGCATCATATTCAATGTGTGTTATTACACTATTTTTTGGAGGCATTGATGCACCGTATGAGGGATACACCTACACTTTCATTAGGATGTGTCGTTGCACCGTATTCAAGGTGCATTGTTATTCCATTTTTGAGAGACTTTATTGCACCATATGTGGGGAGCATTGCTAAACCGTTTATCGAGATGTGTCGTTACACCATATTCGGGGTGCATTGCTCACCATTTTTGGGGTGTGTCATTGTACAGTAGTCGAGGTTCCTTGTTATACTGTTATTGGGGTCTCGTTGCACCTCATTTGGGGTGTGTAGTTACACTGTCTTAGGGTGTGTGTTGTTGCAACGTATTCAGAGTGCATTGCTACATCGTCTTCTGAGTATGTTGTTGCATTGTATTGGGGGTACATTTTTTCATAGCATTCAGTACATTGTTACACCATCTTTTATGTGTGTAATTGCATCATATTTGGAATGCATTGTTGCACTATCTTAGGAAGACATTGCATCGTATGTGGGGTGTGTTGTTACAATGTCATCGAAGTGCGTCGTTGCACCGTATTCACTGTGCATTGTTTCACTATCTTAGAGAAACATCATTGCACCATTATATGGATACAATATTACATCGTCATCGAGGTATGGATTGCACCGTAATAGGGTGTGCTGCTACAACATCTTTAAGAGAAGTCATTGCACTATATGTGGGTGTGTAGTTGCACATTCATCGAGGTGGGTTGTTGCACCACATTCAAAGTGCAATGTTACACCGTTTTTGGGAGGCGTCGTTACACAATATAGATGATGTGCTATTACATCGTATTCGGAATGCATCATTGCATCGTATGTGAGGCATGTTGTCATGTGGGATGGCTTATTTCTCTACGATGTACACCGGGATTTTGTAGTACAAGTTGTGGCTTCACAAGAGACTTTACTGCAAGAAGCGAGTGGTAGATGATGGTGATCGACGAAAATCGATGACTGTCGTAGGTCATGTTGGTCAGAAGCGACAGTAACCGTAAGCAGAGGTGGTGACTGGAGTTGGCGGCGATGACTGTCGAAGTTGGCTAGTGGCACGTTTGTCAAAGCTGGTAGCAACGGCTGTGGCTGCCGGAGTGGGAGGTATTCGCCGAATCTGCAGAACAGAATACTGCACTTCAAACCCTTCTTCTCCAGGCTTTGATTTCTCTGGCTCAAAGTCTAGTTCTCCTTTCAAAAGGGGGATAGGACTCTATTTATAGAGTCTAGATTGTAAATAAAGAGAGAATTCAGGCCACTCCATAAGATGACCCAAAGTGGTTCCCTCAAGCAAATGGCTTCCAGTGGACGCTTAAATGCCCTAATGATGTTGTAATTGGGTGATCTTAAGCTCATTAGATTTGTTTTGTTGAAATATTCGATTTGACTATAAGCATGTCAGATTTGGAATCCGTTTGACCTTTCAATTATGCACTAAAAGCTTTAAAAAGCAATTTAATTGCTTGATTTGAGCCCGATTTGACTAAGATTATACCAATTTAGTATTATTGGGCCAATCTCATAGAGTCAGCCAGTTTGAATATAAGTTTGATTGAACTTGAACTTTTCTCGATAAAAATTACCTCGAGATTCGTGTCATGCATCAAGAATCGTGTCAGATTATGAGAATTTGTTGGCAACATATTATAGTCGAACATAAACTGTTTGTGAACATCGAGTTTTTTTTACAGCCATTTGAATTGTTAGATATTTATATAAAAGTATATGACAACAATCTTTTGAAATATAGATAGTCTCATTATAATCATCATATAAATTTATATCTTATAATTAAGAGAAATTTTCATGCACACACACAATTTTTATGTATTTACATTTCTAACGCACAAAATTTGATATTTTAACTTATAATACATTGGTATCATAAATCCATGCATTGAAATATATATTTCTCTTTTAAAAAGATAGTGATGATATTTTCTTAATATAATGTTAAATGAGTCTATAGGCCTTCATTTTAGTAGAACTAAAAGTGAATACACGAAATATAATTTTAGTAGTGATAGCTCTATTGACAGAGTTGTAATTATGGGTGATCAAATTATTAAACGGTGTGGACGCTTTAGATATCTCGAGTCTATTGTTCAAAGTGATCGTGACATAGATGAGGATGTTATTAGAAGAATTCAACTTGTTTGGTAGAAGTGGAAGAATGCTTCACGCCTATTGTGTGATAGAAAAGCACAGCTTAAACTGAAAAGAAAATTTTATAAGATGGTAGTGAGACCAAAAATGCTCTATGGTGCAAAATGTTGAGCTTTAAAAGAGAAGCATAAAATTAAGTTAAGCGTTTACGGGATGAGAATGCCTACATGGATGAGTGGCTTTACACTCAAAGACAAAATGCGAAATGAATATATCTGTGATAAGATTGGTGTAGCTCATGTGACAAACAAATTTAGAGAGAGTCGTCTTAGATAGTTTTATCATGTTAAACGCCGACCATCCAATGATCCAGTTAGGAGAGTAGATCTTTTACATTCAACTTATGTTAAGGAAGTCAGAGGCGGACCTAGAAAGATTTGGGCATTTGTATAAATAAAAAAATCTTAATTTATTAGAGTGAAATGAAAATATGACATTCAATAGGACGTAATGGAGAAAAAGGATTCATGCAACTCACCCCATTTAATGGGCTCATTGCTTGCTGTTTTTGCTGTTGTTATGTGAGTTTAGGTGTTGGACATGTAAATACCTAAGAATTGGATGGTATGGTAAATTCCCCTAAAATAAATATCTTTTAATTGGACGGACATGTAAATACCTAAGAATTGGATGGTATGGTACATATGTAAATTCCCCTAAAATAAATATCTTTTAATTGGACTCATGTATGATTTACTTTATGCTCCAAACATGAAATTGAGAAAATATTGCATCAGGACTCCGCGCTTAGAGTTATGTGCGGAGTCCAATGAAATCACGCCACATGACGGTGACAGAAAAAAAAAAAAAAAATTGCCCGGTAACCCAAGGAAATATTCCTCTCGTGTTATTCAGGTGTTATTATGTATTATTCACGTGTTATTGTGTCTTATTCAAGTATTATAGATGTGTTATTAAAACACCGAAAATATTCCCAGAACACAATAATATCTGAATAACATACAATAACAACTCAATAACACAAAATAACATGGAGGGAATATTCTCTTATATTATCAGGTTGATTTTTTTTTCTAACACCTTCACATGACATGATTTCATTGAAATCTACACGTAACTCTATATGCGGATTACTGATTAATATCCCCTTATTGCTTCCTCATTAAATAAGCATTAATTGCTCGTACTATTTACGAATTTACGGTCCAAAGAAAGAGGAACCAATTTGTCTCTTTCAAAATGCTAAAATTTGAAATTTCATATTTAAAGTTCGGCAAATGTTTCTTATTTTCGGTGTTCCAAATCTTGACATTTTTTATTGATCCTGCACTATTCATAAAAAATAAAAGAAATTTTATAATAAGAAAAATGTTCAAGCAACGGCCAGATTAATATCATTGCTCGTTTTAACGGCCCATATTTAATATAAGATGATTTTTCATTGCCGGCAAAGATGATTTTTCATTACCTTGCGTAGTTATGCAAATAAGCTTATTGTAAGGGACCGAATCAGAAGAAAGCCAACAAAATCACCACATGCCTACTTTTTCAAGTTCTGCACTCGCCTCTAGCGAATAGCCACCTGAGATCTCTCCAGCGACTCGCCGGCGGCCGCCGGAGCACCCCGAAGACGGCGAAAACTTCTGCAACTAGAAGTTGAATCAACCTCTGCGTCGGTCTTCTCGATCTATCGTAATCTAAGCTCTCCCAGCTCGGTACGCTTCGGCTTCAAACTTTCAGGTCTGTTTCAACTCAATTTGACCCGACTTGCCTTCGGCCATTGTTGCTCGTTTCTCGAGAAGTATGTTGTAGATCGAGAAGAGGGTTGATTTTGGAATTCTGACCTTTGACTGGTTTTGTTTATTTTCGGTTAAAATAAGCCCGGGATTTTATTCGATGTAAATTCGGGTGCCAATTTCATTACTTCATCTACCTTCTCCTGTCGTATCTGGATGACGTATTTGTGGAACCAATCATGTTTTCGCATGGTTTAATAGTTTTTCGTCGTGAAAAGTAGTTAATGACTGTTTCTTGATGGGCGGCATTGAAGAATAAGGGGTGCGGTCGGATAGGGTTCCTATGAATAGGGGGGATCAAGGCCGTCCTCCCCGTAATTTCATCTTTTTGTTCTTTTTTTTTTAAACCTTCTTCCAATAAGGCTGTTGAACTTCTAATTCATCACTTTTCTTTCGAATTCTTTCTCTACTTGAGTTCTTTTAAATAGATTTTTTTTTTTGGGTGTGATTTTTTCAGTTTCTGTAACCGTGATTGGTTAGTATGTGGTAATTTTGTGAGTTGAAGAAAGTCGGTTGCGGTTGAAGAAGGTATGAAGATGGAGAAGTTGCATACCTAAAGATGAAGTCTTTTAAATAAAGGGGCATTGGGGTGGCTGGATGTTCCAATAATGGCTGCACCACGGGGGAAATCTTCATCAAAGAGGCCTCTTTGGATCCTTGCACTAATCTCTCTGGTGTGCTTATCATTGATTTTTGTCTATCTTCATCCGCCCCAGCAATATTCATCTTGCTACCTTTTATCGAAAGTTTGCAACCAGTTGGACTACTGGCTTCCACCAGCACCAGCTAGAGTTCTAACTGATGAGGAGCTCATCTCTAAGGCTGTTATAGGGGACATTCTGTCCATGCAAATTGCTCACAAAAAAAATTCTAAAATTGCTTTCATGTTCTTGACAAGGGGATCATTGCCTTTTGAGAAACTATGGGAGAAATTTTTTCTGGTAATTCCTTAGCTCATATTTTTGATCCACCGTCTCTGTTCGTTCTTCTACAATTTGGAGCATGGGAATATAGCGTATAATTCATATGGATGATACGATATGACATTTGTTGATGGGATATATGTATATTTTAATGTGGAATAATTTTTGGGCTATGTTGTAATTGTATTTTAAAAATATTACATTTTTAAAATAAGAATTTTGGTTTATTCTTATTTGGCCAGATTATGATTGTTCTCTTTGCCCAATGATAGATGCATTTGGAGTGTCAAATTCTAGTCAAAGTTCTAGATTTAGCTCTACCTTGAATTATATCAAATGTGCATTAGGCTCCCAAGTCTGCGGTAAAAATTTATGTTCTTACAAACTCTTTCATGGTCTCCATTCATGGAACCATCTATCATATATACATAAATAATTACAACTGCAAAGTTTTTCTCCCTTTGCCATGAAAATCATTTTAAGGAAAAAGGGTTATTTTGTGAAAGATCTTTTGCATTTGTTCAAAGAAACTCATGTAGAAATAAATTTGCATGTTTGTTAGGGTTTTGTATTAGTGAAGGAGGGCATGTTTGAAAAAATATTTATGTTCTAGATGTTAGTTTAAAAAGATTTTTCCGCATAATACAATTTACTCTGCTCTACTTGATGGGAATGAACGATGAGTAAAATTATGCTATATGTGCTTATCAGAACATCATTAATTAATATGCCTTTTTCCTTATGTTTGTTGATTTCTCTTGCATTTTACCAAGTTGTTTATATACAGGGCCATGGTGGTAGGTTCTCCATTTATGTACATTATTCAAGGGAAAACCCAATTCATGTGAGCCCACTATTTATTGGCCGGGAAATTCACAGTGACAAGGTACTTTCTAATTTTTTTCCAAACTACAATGTTCAAGACTTGCAGCATCTGGTTCTGATTTGAACTTTGTTATGAAAAATGATGAAATAAATCATTTTTTGTATACTTGAAAAGTCAAAAAAATAAAAAAAATGAGTGTGGCTTTGTAGTGTCACTTGAGAAGTCAAAAAAAAAAAAAAAAGAGTGTGGCTTTGTAGGTCACTACTTGAAGAATCCTGACAAATTCAACATGAAATTGTTTTCTTGTTTGTATTTTGATTTTGGGCAATTTAATACGTACCACACAATTCTTTTGAATTTACGTATGTAACACCTAAAGTTTGATATTTACATTTGTAAAACCTTGGTGCTATGAGCTTATGCATAAAAATGTGCATTTAACTTTTAAAAGGTTAGTAAAAGTAATTTTTCTGATGTGATGTTAAAGATTGAGTGTTATGAATGTAAATATTAAAGTGTAAATGTTAGGTATGTAAATAGATAAGTATTGTGTGGGATGTATGTAAATGCCCCCTTGATTCTTATTTGATGGACCTATTGCACATGCCAACATGTTTATATATCTTTATGGATGTTCTTATGCTATATTATATTAACTGACTACTTTATTTTCAGGGGAAGAACTGAAAATGTAGTTTAGCTCCATGATACTCTAATGAGACCATCTATTTCTTCACATTATTTGTTATTTGATTTGATTTAAAAGCACAAATTAGAAATAGGGGTTTTTAGCAAAAGCATTGCCTATGATATTTGCTAGGGGTGACAATTATGGTCTACATTGAAAACTTGTTCAGTAATTGCTTAAATTTAAACTAAAAATCAAATTAGTTTCCTTAAATGCAAGTTTTAAATTAATCGACTTGAATTGAGAATTATTTTATATGTGCATAAATGTGTGCATGTGCTTATCAATATTGTTATTCTCACAATATCTACCTAGGTGTCGCAAGTGGATTCAACTTACATATTTATAAGCAGTTCACAAGAATGCTGTAGTCATGACTTAGATTAGTTGAATTCAGCCAAGAGAGAGAGAGAGAGAGATATTCGAGTTGGTTTCAAAAATGTTTTGAATTTTTCTAGAAGATGATATCCCTTATGTTCGAACTTTGTTTGACTTTTATTCGTCTCTTTGCAAATCATTGTCAGTTGTAGCTGCTTAAATATGTACTGTGTGGTCAGTAGTGGGGCATTTTCATCCAAAGTCAATTCTCAAGAATATTTCTCTAATTTTGCGTATCATGCTGAACTAAAAGTCAAAATTCCTTTTTTTTTTAAATTAGATTTTAATCTAGTGATACTGGCAAATGATTCATCTCCCAATTTAAATTATATGATTTATGTAAATAAAATATAGCTATTTAAGCAATTCATTTATTTTATTCAGTAAAATTGATCTTGGAGGCTCAATTAAGTTTTAAATTTATTCATAAAATTTTAAATTAACCATATATGTTAATAATAGTGTTTCTTAATTAATTGCATTAAAATTTTAAATTAACCACATATGTTAATAATAGTAATTTTTTCTATAAAGTTTGAATGTTTTGGAGGGAAAGTTTGAATGTGTTGTGAGGGTAATTTATCAGGGCTAATCACCTATAATTTGTTTTCATGTTTTGAAATTCCTACAGTTCTCCTTTTGTCTTCTTATGCCTAGTGGCATTTAGGGATTGTAGAGAGTTTATCTACCTTTTGAATAATAGATCACTCATTGTGTCTTGTTTATTTGCTTGGAGATTAATTAAATTGGCCCTATTTTGGGTTTTTGAACATATTTCTTATAATATGTTTGCTGATTTTGGCTCCGATTTTATCATAATTTTAATTGTTTTATTAAAAAAAGTAAGAGCCATACTTTTTATGAGGCATTACAAGCAATCAATTTCTTATCAAGCTTGATTGACGGTCACATCTTCATAATGAATGATGAAATCATATCTCTAGGCGGTTCTTTGGTTTGTAGATCAACAATAATAATTTTTATCTTACATTTGAAAATAGTAACTTAGAAAATCAATTGTGAGCATGCACATAAATTATTTGTTTAGTAATTTTATTGAAAATATGTGAATAGAGTTAATAAAATGATGTGTGCATATATTTTGTGTTTTAAACTATTATAGATTATACGAGCAGACTGTTAATTATGCATTATAAATATGTTCAGGTGTTTTGGGGTCAAATTTCAATGGTAGATGCTGAGAAAAGACTCCTAGCAAATGCTCTCCAAGATGCTGATAATCAGCATTTCGTGCTGCTATCTGACAGGTGTTGTTTTTTTTTTTTTGAATTTTAATTATTCTTTACTGCTCATTTATAAATTTCTGAAGTAAAATGTAAATATTTGTATCATTTTTCTATATTACAGCTGTGTACCATTATATAACTTCAACTATGTATATGATTATCTCATGGAAACAAATATCAGCTATGTTGACAGGTAAGCATTGGATTCTTCCTATATCGGTAAAAATATTGAATGTCTGTCAGATATTTCTTAGGTATCATTTTATGATTTATTTACTAACTAATTACTCTACTTTCAGTTTCGAAGATCCTGGCCCGCTTGGTGCTGGCAGATATTCTGAAAATATGTTGCCGGTGATCGAGAGAAAGGACTGGAGGAAAGGCTCACAAGTAAGCTGACTTTTGGTTCTATTTTAAATTACATTTAAAAAAAGTTTCATAATTATGTAGAAAATGACTTAAATATGGCATACATGGCACTGTAGGTAAAAAGATACATATGTGCTACATGTGAATAGCGTTATGGAAGTCTTTCATAATTCCGGTATGACCTCATTCTATGAAGAAGCCTCAGGAATAGTGCCCATGAGCAATGAGAAAATGGGACATTTTATTCCTTGAAAGAGTGGAGTTGTACATTTGTGGGAAGAATTCCTAGGAGGGAAAGAAGAGAATTAGGGGGAATAGTTTCAATTAGATTTTTTAGATAATCATAATAACGCCATCTTTGCCTCATTATTAAAAGGGACATTTACAATTCTGATGTATTTACATTTCTCACACCTAAACATTCATATTAACATACATTGTACTTTATTGTTTTAAAACTTGCATGAAAAGTGGTAATAGTGCTATTTTTGATGTGACATTAAAGATTTGAATGTTATGCGTGTAAATATGAAAGTTTAGGTGTGAGATATGTAAATATATGAGAATTGTGTTACACGTAAGTAAATTTCCCTTTAAATAATTAAAATTTCTAGCAGGTGGTTTGTCCTTAGGAGAAACTGTGATAGTTCGTGATCATATTACAAACTTTTTGTGCAAGTGTTTTTGGAAGAGGTCTTTTTATTTTGTTTATTCTTTCAAAGTATTTCATTTTCAATGATTCTGTGAAAGGCTTTCTCTAGTTTATCAGGTTGGTGGTTTTAATTTATTTCAAATCTCATGCCATTTTTAACTTTGGTCTTTGTTACCCAATCTTCTTCCCTAACAGAGGTCTTGATGAAGGTTCTTCAAATCGATTCAAATATTCATTTGCATTAAGTGAGGCTTGATGCAGATTATTAAATTGAATAAGCAGTATTTGCGTATGATACTTGGGAACATATATTTTATTTTAACCAAAGTTTGATTTTTTCTATCATGAGTTGTGTGTCCTACATTTGTTATTTCATCATTATTAACGTTTCTGAAGTATTAGCATATGATACTTCATTATTTTCAAGAATATTGTATGCATTAAAGTAATCATTAATTTTCTATGGTCCTCTCAAAGTGGTTCCTTCCCTACTTACGTTTAGAGTTTCCATTTTCATAAAGTGGCAATTTTCTATCTGCGTTCATGAATTGACTTAATAGTCTCTTGAATATTTAAATATTTTTTTATTAAAGTGCAGAAATTATAGATGGTATAGACACATGCTACAATGCCATTCAATAATTTTGTGTTGTGCTTTTATATGATGTGCTAGAGAATCCAACTCTTTTTTCATTTTTCTTACAAGCAAAATAATACACAAAACTTAGTTTTATATTGCAAAATTGATAAATGCAGATTTTTATTGTAATTGTATGATTCATGAATGTAATATTATAATGTTAGCATGCCAATATAGTTTGTAAATTATCCACGAAACTAGAAAATAGGCGGCAGCTTCTGTTCAAAGAAATTAGAAAGTATTTTATTAATTCATTGTCATAACTAGTTTGAATTGCTTAGAATACTTTTATGTAGGATAGTTTACAATTTTAGATTTTATTTTTTTGTGGGGTTAATTAAGTTTATGTATCACTATTATGTAGGATAAATAGTAATTTAATCTATATAGGTTTTTCTGTAAGACTTCTATGTTCAAATCATACTATAAAACTCGATCAACCATCCACAAATGAGTTCCAATCCAAGAATGTTGTTATTTTGTCTATCCTTTGGTATATGCTCTTAATCTCAAAAATAGATTGAAAGCTTAAGCCTTGGAAGTTTGGGCTAGTGCTTTGGAGGTTTGAGAAGTTAGTCTTTTGGATATGATTATGATTGCAACTTGTTTATTATTTTTTCATTTTCTCTATAGATTATGGGTAAATTGAGGTGACACTGATACAAGATAATGATAGATTTAGGGATGAAATTTTATTCACAACAATCAAAAGGTTGTTTAGCTCAAGATTATTGGAATAAAATACCACCATTTAGATACCAGAAACCTTGAACCAGGTAAACCAACATAGTTAACAAATAACATGATTTAAAATTGTGTAATATGATTTGGAAAATACACAATAAGGCTTTGACCTTATTGTGTATTACATAAGCGTTTACATCTCACATAATGTCTGATGTGTCTCACCTTAGTTTTGATGAGGCGTGCGCATTTAGATTAGGGTTACTTTAAAATAAATCTAAATAAAATACCCCTCGATGCATTCCTCACTCAATTCTGATGAGGCGTTATAATTAGATATATGATTTTCTTTAAAATATATAAGTTAAATAACCTTAATAAAACATAGCCAAATAATTATGAAACTGATGATGTAATTGAAGTTATTTCTATCAACAGTCATTTTCCTAAAATCTAATAAGTATTATTATTAATTATTATTTATTTGATAAAAGATAGATAATTGAGATTGAAAATGAATCGGGAAATGACATTCTCCTTGGGTTTGCGTAAATCACATTTCAGCATCAAATATTTGAAGCCAACCTTATTAACTACAGGCAACCCCCATTGCTAAAAATTATGGGACTTAATAAAGACATTTTGCCTAAAATGAAATGGCAAACATTTTTTTTTTGTATTTTTTCAATTTATCCTGTGTGATGATATTATTCTCACTCTCTAGCCCTCGTTTTGTTCAAGAATCTTCCACCAAATAAGTGCAATTTTCTTTAAACTGACTGCCACAAAGTTTACGCGCCTATCAATATCTTCATTTTCAAACACATACTATATATCCAGTCTACAAGACCATCAACATTTAATCCACCCTTAGGCGGTGTTTGGCTAAGCTTAGATTTATGTTAAATAGGTACATTTATTTGGATTTATCAAATTCAGTGTGCGACTCAGGAGCTCACGAGGGACGACACAATAAATTCGTATTGAAATAGGATTTAGCAAATCCAAATTTACGTCATAAAAATGACAAAACGTGAGAAAAAAAAAAGACTGAATGCAGAAAATTTGATTTATCGAAGCGTTGGGTCTAATTTTAATTTTTTGGTGTGGGCTGGATAGAAGTTAAATTCATCTCTAAATCTTGCTAATATTATGCTTCAAAAAACTGCCTTGAACTCCAAAATGTCTACATTAACCTCAAAATCTTGATAACTTTTTAATGATTCTCTGATATGATAAGGTTTGTCCTCTCTAGATGATTCTTGACATGCCGCTTATTGGAATGGGTCTTTCATTTTGCATTCCACACAATTGTCATCCGAATGGAGCAAATGCAAATTAGGCCCAAGGCATTCTCATGCCTCTAATCTAAATTGTAATTATTGGATTTCATGATGTAGATCTTCTATTGTTATCTCTTGACTTTGATGGTATTGATGTCTTCAATGCGGCTTCCTAAACCTAGGGCTCTGATACTAAAATTTGATGCCGGTGCAAAATAATGACAGAATGAAATGTGGAACTTTATTCACGGCAATCAAAAGTTGGCTAGATTTTGACTGTTGGAATTAAATCCCACTATATTGAGACCTGAAAATTTGAACTAGGTAATCAGCACCGTTTGCTAACTGACAAAATAATCTCTATAAGTGAAATTCAGATTTCTGTTTGCTCTCGGCTCTAAATGATTCTTAGGGAAAAACTAAATACAACTACCTCACACTTAGGATAAGAAAATTGCAAGGCTCTTTCTCTTCCAAGGAAAACACTAGCCCTAAATAATGCATTATTCCTTGTCTTCTGGAGAACTTGTGAGAACTTCTTGATACGGTAATCCTAGCCACTGCATCGAGAAAAGACATCTTTCAAATGTTTTTGGCAAGAAATTTTCTTAAACTATATAAAAATAGATGTATTAACAGAGGGTTATGTTGGTAATAAAAAAAAAATATTGGATCCAGGACAGAATTATTTAAAGCATGCTGGTTGGTTACATATTCTTAAATTTGGACCATCAGAAGCCAAATCGATCTTGTTAATCATTTATGACCTCATTAAATAACATGCTTCAAAGAGCTTTATAAATTGGATTTTGATGAACTTGTCATATAGGAGAGTGAAAATGATGTTGATTTTACTTTGGTGATGCTAAAGGTATTTGCTACATTTTTTCATCAGAATATATAATATAGAAAATACTAATAAAGGTATTGGGTGTAGAAGAGAATTATTTAATGCATGCAATGTGGCTATTTGTTCACAAATTTGAAATTTCAAAATCCACATTGGTCTTGTAAAACATTTAAGAGTAGAAATGGGTAGGAATTTTATTAAATAAATGCATTAAATAGCACTATTCCAACAGCTCTATGAATTTGAGTTCATGGAACTTAGTATATAGCAGGGTGAAAATCATTTTATTGTGTTGTGAAACTTTATGCTGTGATAATATTGAAATTAAAAGGGTTGTTTGAATCTTCATGGGTCGGCAGATCCGACATTTCATTTTGTTCTTTAGCTACTTGTCCTCTTTTTGGTATAAAATCTATAATATAAAATGCTTAAATGATGTACATATTATTTAAATGGCATGTATTCCAATTAAAGGAGTTAAAAGGATTTATTTTGGATAAATTTCAAGATTTTTCAATTCTGCAGTGGTTTTCGATCAAGCGACAACATGCTTTGCTACTTCTATCGGACAACCTTTACTACACAAAATTCAAACTTTTCTGCAAGGTGAGTCCATTTCTTATTTGATGTGGTTTTAACTACCATATATCAATTAAAATGCATAAGGGACTGCAAAAAATTAAATAGATTTATTTTCTTGGTCCCTTATGGCACTTATTTACATTGATATTTACATTGGCTGTGCCAAATTTGCAACTTGACCAAAATTTAGGAACTTGCATGCACTTATTTGCATAAATATTCGAACGGAAGTTGTTAAAACATTCTATTCTCACAATATAGTTTTTTTTCTTAAGTAATCATAGTCATTATGGCTATTTTCATGAGAATGATTCTAAATATTGACTCCTCTTTGGTCTTTACAGCCTGCTATGGAGGGCAACAGAAACTGCTATTCCGATGAGCATTATTTACCAACTCTCTTCAGTGTATTAAACCTTAGCTCTTATTTAGTTCTATCTGAATTTTTTTTTATTTTATTTGTTTTTTAATTCCATCTGGACTTTTTTTTTTTTTTGCCATGTTGTTTATTTTAGATGGCCCATCCCAGATGGCCGATCCTACTGGTATAGCTAATTGGTCAGTTACCCATGTAGACTGGTCTGAAGGAAAATGGCATCCTAAGTTATATAGAGCGGAAGACATTACATTTGAGCTTCTCAAAAAAATCAAAGTATGCAGTTTTGTATTTTTTTTTTTTGGGCATTTACATACAAACCACAATTCTTTGTATTTACATATCTAACACCCTAAGTTTAAGATTTACATTTATAACACTTTGGTATTAAAAATTTATGCATGAAAGTTGTATTTCACTTTTAAAAAGTAATAGTAGTATTTCTGATATGATGGGCAAGATTTGAGTGCATCTATGTAAATATGAAAGTTTTGTTTTTTTGATATGTAAATATATAAGAATTGTGCGGTATATATGTAAATGCCCTTTTTTTTAAAATACTACATGTACGAACGGCTGATGCTTATCTGCTAATGAATTGATCATTTTCTGTTGTTATGTGCAGTCTATTGACGAGAGTTTCCATGTTACAAGTGAAGCAACGGTAAGATTACCGTATGTTAGCAGTTTTGGCTTAATGCCCTCTCTAAATTATGACCTCAGGATTCTTTTGCATGAGACTTTGAACATAGGAGGAGTATATTTTTTTGTTAAGTTTATGAAATAAAATCAAATTTAGAAAACATTCCATCATCCGGCTTCATATGGCACTTTCCTCCTTGCTCAACATATCAAAGACCATGAAAGACAGTTATATGCAAGGGGCATTTACATACATACCACCTAATTCTATGTATTTACATATCTAACACCTAAACTTTTTTATTTTTTTTACTTTCTCAGTGTCCAAATCTTTCATATCACATCAAAAATATCACCAATTTAACTTTAAAAAAAAAAGAAATACACCTCTTTATCTATAAGCTGGTATATGTAAAAATTGAAGTATAGATATGTAAATTCTTATGAATCGAGTGGTATATATGTAAATCTTCCTATAAGCAATTAAAGATCGAGTTTATAAATTTCTCCGAACATAAAGAAGCTAGCTCTTTAAAGGTTATTAGATTTTTTCGACGTCCACTTCATCTTCTCTGAATCTCTAATGATACATGGTTCTTTCTTTCCGCATAATTCTTTAAAGGTTATTAGACTTTTAATCTTTCCTTCATCATCTGTTTGCTACACAATATAATTTTCTTTCCTGCTTTTGCAGAAAGTTGTCATGCAAAAACCATGTTTGTGGAATGGGACTAGAAGGCCATGCTATCTTTTTGCCAGGAAGTTTTACCCCGAAGCCCTCGACAATTTGATGAATATTTTCTCCAATTACACAGATTTTATAGCCTTCTAAATGATCACATTATTCTTGTCGAACCTCTTGATTAGTTCACCCGGTTCTCTCCTCACTTTATAATGAAGAGATCCTCAGGTTTGTGCCATTCAATTTCTCAGAGCTCTGTAAATTTGAATGATCAAACACCCTGCATATAAATGCTGAATGTGAAGCTGTTTTTATGGATGACTGCTTCACTTTTGTTATTCTGAATCATGGTGAGTAGGTGCTATTTTTTTAAAAAATGGTTAGTAATTTTTCTTGAGGATTTTTCCTTGGGATATCAATTTTGTGTACCGTTGTCAGCATGGTTAAACCTTGTATTTTTTTTTTTTTTTTTTTTTTTTTTGACGTAGATGTAATTGCAGATTGCACTTGTTCTAAATCAAACGAAATTTTTACCGCAGCTCTGATGTGTCTTGGATTGTTTCTTTTAGGACTAATTGTGTGGTAATTTCTTTACTTTTAGCATTTGGTTATGATACATAATTTTGCAACTTTTATTTTGATTATGAGTTTTATTTAATTTTTGAAAATTTAAATTGAAGTTATTTGATTTGGGTAGAAAATTTAGTCTTTAAACGAGCCTATCTATAATCTAGCAAAATACACAAACAAAGTACCAACCTAAAATTGGGTCAAACCTACCGAGCAAAAGCACAATACAATATAGAAGACGATCAGTGGGTACTAGTCTTAAATATAGGTCAGATTCGTCCATCAACATCATCTGAAATAGTGTTTTTAGTTTAGTTGAGATTCATCATTCGCTTCATATTCATTTTTCCTTGGATAGTTTGGATGTTGATAGTCGACCGACCAAAACGCACTCTAACTCTATAAAGATAAGACAACTCAAGAAAGAAAAACTCATGTTACAATGACAACTTAGTATTAGCTACAACAATACTGCAAAATAAAATTAACACATCCTAAATTTATTCTGATAGCTTAGAAACATGTAAAGAAAATCTATGCATAAAAATAAAGATTATCTGCTCATCTTAACAGAGGTCTAACGAGCAAACAAAACAATAACATAAGTGCAGCCTAACTTAATCCTATGACGTCTAAAGTGTTATTACCTTATGAAGTTTAAAGTTGGTGAGTGTAAGCTAACAAGCTTAATCAATTTTTTTTAAGATGGCTCCTGTCAAAATTCTATGGTTTCATCTCCCTGAGTCGTTAGTGTTTTGGATCTACTTAATCGGGAAAGGTAGTTGACTCAATTGATCGAGAGATTTTTGTCAGCAATCATGGGTTGTGTTCCAAGAGAACTTTGTAATCCCAGAGGTTTATTATTTAAATTGCATTTAGTTTTGCTTGTTCATTAGAGGCTTACTTTACGTTTTAATTTCTTTGGGATTTTATGAGTCTGATTTTTACCATAGTTAATTTTTATTTAATTTTTAATTATATTGTTTTTTAATTAATTTGATTTTTTTTATTTGATTATCTTTTAATTAATTTACTAGAGAGGCAGAGGTAGACCTAGGGAGACTTGGACTTATTGTATAATAAATGATCTTAATTTACTAGAACAAAATGAAGCTATGACACTAAATAAGACGCAATGGAGAAAAAGGATTCATGTAGCCGACCCCACGTAGTGGGATTAAGGCTTTGTTGTTGTTGTTGTTGTTGTTGTATCTTTTAATTAATTTAATTTTTATTATAATTTTATTTTGATTTGATTTTTAACATGAGCATGATCAAGATCTCATGATTTTATCGTCCCAGGGTTAGTGTTTGTAATTTGTTTGATGACGAATGACTGAAGGATTTTTTCTTACCAACTATTTGTTACCTCATCCAAAGATACCTTGTAGAATGAGCTTATTTATTTTGGTTTAAGTTTATGTCTTAGTGAATATTATGGTGTACTTTAAGTTTTAATGACTTATGAATTTCATGAATTTTATTTGATTTTTTTTATTTAAGTTCACTTTTTAATGACTTTTAGGATTTTGGATATTTTAATTTAAGTGGGTTCAAATTATCTTAAGTTTTATTAATGGGAGTTTTTTTGGTTGAGTTTAAATGATCTATAGAACCCTTAGTGTTTTCTTAGAGACGTTCAAAATTAAATTTTAAACGACCTCCATGATTTTCAAGTCATTCTAATGTCCACTTGAAATTTTTATAAGTTATTACATGTGTTGGGGAGTTAATTATTTAAATATTATTTAAAATTTACTAGATGAATTTTTTTTTATGCTTTGGTTTTTCTTTATTTACTTGTTCTTTTGGTGAAGTTTTCGTTTGATTTAAAGTTTTCTTGGTGATGTTATGATTATTTTATTCTATAGAGGTATATTTGTAATTTCTAGGAAAGTTAAAATCATATCAAATGTACTTTTAGACAGATGAGTTTCAATTCATGCTATGTTTAAGTGGATTTGTTTTAGCATGCTGTCTTCTTATTTATTTATTTATTTAAAGTTAATGTTAATCTATTTTTTTTCAATTTTAAATGCCTTATTGACTATCAATCACAACTTCAATTGGCTGAGCTAGGAATTATAAGTTGATTTGAACTACAGAGAAAAGTTGGATCGAATTCTATTTCATAAACTCTATCTTACTGTGCACGTGAATTGTGTGGATCTTGATGAGACTATACGTCCATCCCAGGCGATGTCGAATGTGGAATCGATTGACGAGTGAGTATAGAATCTGAGCATTGGGAATTTTAAACATGTCCTACAACCGCTATCCTAAGGTTCTCTGTCAAATGAATGTGTTAATCACGTGTCGAGAGGTCTCATCCTAAGCATATATCTTAAGTTCGCTACCCTAGGGTTCTTTATGAGATGAAAGGGAGCCACACATTAGAATTCCTTATCCTAGACATGTCTTAAGCTCTATCTTAGGTTCTCTTTTCCAAAGAGAAAGAAAGAATTACACCATTACATTGCCAAGCAAGATAGCTAGAATTCCTTATCCTAGACATATGTCTTAAGCTGACTATCTTAGGTTCTCTTTTCCAAAGAGAGAGAAAGAATTACACCATTACATTGCCAAGCAAGATATATATAACAAAATGCAACTAAATGCAGTTAGTAAACAAAGAGTAGGAACATACCTGAGGGTTGTTTTATAAGAAATTATGTGAAAGAAATGGTCATTATGCAACTCAACAAATTATTTAATATCATTGATTACTTATCTTTTTTCCAACAAAAAGTTTAAGTTCTTGGATATCTTTAATAGTACCTTATGCAAGACCTTCATACATGTATATATTTGCTTCAAGGATAAATAAGCAGTCAAGATTTTAGACTGTTTCATTAACAAAATTGTCAAAGTTCTGCTTTTTCAAAAACTAAAGTCATGGTAGCTTCATATTTTTCAAAAACAAAGCATCAAAATTTCCAGTTTTTGCAAGCAAAGCGATCACACTTTCATATTTCCCAAAAAAAAAAAATGAAGCACGAAGATTCCACTTCTCGCGAGCATAGCTATCACACTTTCAGATTTTCTTCAAAAATGAAACATCAAACTTTCAAATTTCTACAAACAAAACTATCACACTTTCAGATATTCACGCAACTGAAAAGCTGAAGTTTCACATTTCCACGACCAAAACTATCAAACATTCCAAATTTTTCATAACCAAAAACGTCGAAGTTTCACATTTCCACAAACAAAACTATCAAACTTTGAGATTTTTCTCACAAATGAAACTATCAAAGTTTTCAATTTTTCACAAATCAAACCGCCAAAATTTTTTATCAAAGCTTCCGAATTTTCACAAACCAAACCATGGAAGTTTGTGAGTTTTCACCAAAGAAATCGTCAAAGAAAACTCACATACAATCCATCATATTTTACATAAACACTTCATCAAATAGGTGATGTAACTTCTAAGAAACATTATGAAGAAGATTGGAATGAAATGAGCAAAAGGACGACCTGCCTGCACATAATGTGATTTCAAAGGAGGATTTGGCTGTTGAATTTATGCAGCTTTTACGTTGACTTCAAGGTCTGTTTTGTTGGCTGAATATATATAGGTTTTATGTGATTTCAAGGGCTGATTCTGCTCTTTTGGTAGCAGGATATCAGCACGATTTTAGCAGGATTTAGGGTGCTCTATGAATGCATTTGTGTAAGTTTTAAGAGGTATTTTGAGGCTATTTTGTGTTAGTAGTCGAGTAAAATTCAAGTGAGAAAGACAAGATTGTTTTGCAGTTGGTTTTACACAGTTACATGGGATTGAAGAGCAGATTTAATGGTGGATTACAAGTAGTGTTTGAATGCCGGAATTATGCAGGATTTCAGCAAATGCGTGCAGATTTATTTAAGTTGTTAAATTTTACAACGATTGCATGCTAAGTGAAATATGCAATGATACCAAGTTTTTTTTTTTTTTTTAATTGATTTATATGGAGTTCACAATGACGAATTTTGCAAATGACAGATATTCGGAGGAAAGTACATAATGCAAGATCCAAGGAAGATCTACATACATACTATTCAATTCAAAATGCAACACTTGAAACCTTCATTTATGTATATCACCCCACTAATTCAGTAGAAACTGAAATCACTTTTGATATAATATACATGGTTGAAGTGGTAGAAATGTAAAGCAAAATTTCAATGAAAACAAAATGGTTGAATAATTTATTGGTGGCATTTTACCGAGCAACTAGAAGGCAATAACTTGGAGTGACCATTCGCATGAGTAATAAGGTATGTTTATCAGAAGATCGAGGAAATGTTATGCAAACTTAAATATCAATTTTGTGTCCATGAAATATATTTATAGGCATGTATTAGCATGTGTGATAGGTATTTTCCCAAACACCGTCTTGAGGACGAATGATTGTGAAATCATTCGTAAGCGTAGGTGCGTGCACACCCACAAGCGCATGTCGGTGAGCACACACCAACTTTATCATCGACCACTAGTTGATATTGACCACCACTAACTACAACTTTGATTGTCCTACCATAGTTATTATAACCTCTTTTTACTATGACTTATGTAGCAAACTATTGCTATTATAGCATTCAAATATGGCTTTAGTAGCTCTACTATAGTCCTCATAACCATCAAGTACGACCTCTATAGACAATTATGGCTATTATATGTAAAACCCATTAAGTAGTTAAAGTCAAACTTTTTAGCTAAGCGTGCTCACATGGGAGCACTCCTAAAATGGGCCACCTCCTGGGAAATTAAACCAACTGGGCAAAATTGTAAGATCATTTCACCAAAGTGGATAATACATTGATGGGTGAGAGAGTGGCGTCTTTAACAAATGATATTAAAGCATTA